CCAACAGGGCTAAAAAACAAACAAACACTTAAATATTAGATACTTTCAATAAATACAGATTCGCACTAAGGTGCTGAGTTTGTAACACTTACGTTTTCAGTTTTCTGTTATATTTACCAAAAATTTTAAAAACTCAAATAAAAACTTGTTTGGTAAAATTTTTGATTTATAAATCAGTGGTCTCAGTTTATAAATTTAGCCAAAAAAAAATGTGGTTTCCATTTTGAGTTTTCAGTTTTTTTTTTTTTACCACCCAACACTAACCACCACCTGCCACCATTTTTGCATCCACCACCGTCATTCCAAGCCACCTACCACCCACAACCCATCACCCACCCCTACCACCCACTCACCCACCCACCTGTCACACCATCCACCACTCGCCCCCACCCCCACCACCCAGCTACTCCACTCAGCACCACCACCCACGTCCTCGACCTACCACCACCACGTCTTGCCACCACAACCACCACCCGCCACTACATCCACCGCCCGCCACACGCACCACTGCCAACTCTACACTGAACCCGCACCACCATCCCACCACTATCTTGCCACCATTAGTCCACCGACCACCTCATGCCACCAGCCTACCATCACCACCACACCACCTACCACGCCACGTCACCACCTCCCATTACCAACACCGCACCCCACCACCACCTATTCTACAAGCAAAGTGCCCACCCCTACTCCGTCAACTACCACACCGACCATCCGCCACCACCTGCCACCACCACCGCCACCACCACCACGCCACCTCGCTACCACCAGCCACCTCACCCACCCACCCATCCCACCAGTCGACCATTCCACCGCCACACCACCACCACCATCCCTACCGCACCCACCTACCACCCCACCCCCATCCCACTACAATACCACCCACTCGCTACCAGCCTTACACATCACCACCGTCACCCACCCACCCCCAACACCCCCACCTTCAGTGACACCATCCACCCTGCCCCACCTACCAACCCGCCACACCACGCACCACCGCTACCAACCCACTCAACTCCCCAGCCACTCCACCACCCATGCTCCCAACCGTCACCATCCTCTACCCACTACGCATCCTACCACCACCCACCACCATCACCACCTATCGCTACCACCCACTCCTAGCCATTCCCCCACCTCACCCACCCACCACCACCGCCTATGCCACCTACCACCGGCCTGCACCAGCCTGCCTACCACCACCACCACCCATCCCCCAACCACTCGCTACCACCACCACCCGCCACCGATACCCACCCACCCTACCACCAGCTAACCGCACCCTACCCAGTTCGCCACCCCACCGTCCACCACTTCAACCACCGGTATTCCCGCCCGCCACCACCGACCACCACAACACCACACGCTACCCACCCGCCACCGCCACCACCACCACCACTAGCTACCCACCACCCACCGTCACCATTTTCCACCACCGTCTTCTGCCGCCACTTATCACCACTTGCCATTTCTTACTCTTTTTTATATTTTTAAAATTTATTAAACATTTTGTCAATTACCAAACGCGCTTGTAGTTTATGTTTTTTTTAAAATAAACAAAAACTAATTTATAAATTTTTTGTAAATATAAACTGAAAACGTAAACGTTACCAAACATACCCTAAATAATTTCCTTCTTATTCCTCGAATCAAACACGAGCAAGGATCCTCTAGAGTGATTTTTTCCTAAAGTTTCCTAAAGTGCTACAGTGTATGGTTGAGATTTATTGACAAGTCACATCAATTTTTCTGATGTGACTTGCCAGTAAATCTCGTTTTTTCAGTTTGGTTCTGGTCCGGTTTTACAAGTGTAACGGTCTGGTCTGGTTCTCAAAATCACAGAACCGTTAGGATCGGTCCGGTTCTTGAATTTTCTCAGAACCGAACCAATCCGGACCGTGTACACCCCTACTTCCAATAAATTACAATTCGCACAATAAATAACTTCCTTCTTATTCCTCCAATCAAACACACCCAAAATGTAAGCCATTTTTTAGTTTCACTCAACTCAAACCGACAGTACATCTAAACCAAGGTCCCTGCCATGAGTGGGTCCATGTTGTCCTATAAACATTTTCATGGTTTTAGTCATTTAACTTGTTATTCATGTAAAAAAATAATTTTAAATCATATTCATGATTAGAATATATTTATCTTAAAATAAATTGATAATGTATTTTAAAAATCATATTTGCCATTTATTTATTTTAAAACAAATGTGTTATAATTATATATCCATCAATGAATTATAAAATTGATTTTTTACCTTACTGATCTGCTCAACAAATCTTTCAACATAAAAGGTTTAGATCATGAAAATGCACACAGAACAGGTCCCACTTAGAGTCACAGCATGGATCCCATTTCAAACAATGTTCACCCATGACTTCTTATACCTTGAAAATGAAATGTGTGAATTAAATTTTTTCTATTTATTGCCTTGGCTACGCTAAATTTGAATTTATATCATAATTTTATTTTTTGAATACTTTTTGGGGAAATTGCTATGCAAGGTAAGATATCAAAATTAATTACATAAACATGGGGGTGCAATTCTTTCTGTGCAAAAAATTCATAAAAAGTGTTGCACCCGCACCCCCTTTTAATTAGGGACAATTACCAATCAGTGGTAATTTTTAAAAATTATTACACATTAATTAAAAAAAAGTAAATTACACTAACATCTCTTTAGATTTGGTCCAATTACATATCATCCCCTAATGTTTTGAAAATTACATTCTTACCCTTGTGGTTAATAATTTTATTTCACAATTCCCTGCTTATATAACAACTACTAATAGAAAAAATAGAAAAAATTATATTGAAAAAAAAAACAGTAAAAGAAAGGAAAGGAAAAAAAAATGAGAAAGTAAAGCAAAGTAAGAAAAGAGAGAGTGTATGAGTTTAATGTTTTTATTCCGTCTAAATAATTACAATGACAACATCAGAGAATGATGTGTATTAAGCCCAAGTCTTAGGGGTGTAAGTGTAATTTATCCTAAAAAAATTATGATTTTTATTGTTAATATTTATTATTTTTTTGTAATTAATTTCCCTAACAACCACTTTCAAGTTACTTTCCCTTTTAATTAATTATTTTTGGCATACTTTTCAAGATACGTAACTTTTCAGATTAATTTACAAAAAGCATGACACTTCCAGTTGTTTCCAATAAAGAAACAAATGCTTTACTCATACTAAAAATCCATGTTTGCTCAAATAGTGGTGAAACTTAGAAATAATTATTAAAGTTGTACAAAATCTATATGTATGAATATACAGTCGGTATCATGATATTGAATATAAACCCATCAAGTATCTTCTCTTTCTTTTTTTGCCCTTTTTTGTATAACCGTAGAAAGGGAATAGGGAAAGCACAAATGGTAAGAGATTGTCTCATCCACCGGACCATCAAGCCTCTACATATCTAAGTTTCATGTTATTTATTTCTTACCTTGTTTGGGGGAAAATTTTTGGACAGTTCTCAAGATAAAAGGGCACTATATCTTTTGCAGCATATAAAGGTCGTTTATCATTGTTTGGTGCAGTTAACATGGCAGTTATTAGACCACCAGTACTTGTTCCCGCAATTACATCAAAGTAATCCGCAAGCCTTGCATCCATGCCATCTAGTTCCTAATTATCACAAAGTACAAATTTCAAAATTAAAACAACCAAATTACAAAATTATCACAGAGTGTCAATTTCAAAATTAAAACAACCAAATTACAAACTCATTTATGTATGACCTTGAAAATATTGACACTACCTGAAGTTGTGATTCTAGGTTTGCGAGAATAATTCCGGGGATTATGCCTCTAATTCCTCCTCCGTCAATGCTAAGAACCGTAATGAGTTTGCCATAAGTGGGCGGACGAATTTGACAGTGCGATGTTGCTTTTTCCATTGTGGTTTATTTTAATTGGAAAAATTCAAAACAAGAATATGATGAGTGAAGCTTGAGAGGTTGATGACTTGGAATGCCAATGGAGAGAACTAATGTTTCAAGAAGACCGCGTTAAATTTATAATCAAGTTGATCCACAGAAGTAAAACATGTTTTTTTGTGGGTACATGTTAGGAAAATCAATCGATTTGATTGGTAAATGTCTTTATCTAATTATTATAATTATTGGGCAGCAGACGTAAAAGAATTTGATTTGAGTAGGTGGAATGGTGGCTTGGATTTGAGTCTTTCTCGGAATAATAGTTTGGTCTATAATAAGATAATAACTGTTACAATATGTAAGAGAGAAAATAAAAATCTTATATTAAATGTTGTAACAATGTATTAACAATTTTTTATATAAAAGGAGAGAAACTTAAGTATAGTAATGAATATAATATGGTATATATGATAGACAGAATATATATATTTACTATATTTAACATTCTCTCAAACTCAAGTAGAGATATCAACTTGAATTTGGAAAAAGAAACTTAAACATGAAATAAAACTTAAAATAAAATAAAACAGATAGATCCAAGACAAATAGACTGCAAAGTCTAGATAGGAGCATATGGGCACTTGAGATAGATCAGAGGCTGGAGCTCAGTGGCGAAGCCAGAAAGTTAAATTAAAGAGGTACTTAGGTGCTGTTTGGTAACACTTACGTTTTCAGTTTTCTGTTTATATTTACGAAAATTTTAAAAACTCAAATAAAAACTTGTTTGGTAAAATTTTTGATTTATAAATCAGTGGTCTCAGTTTATAAATTTAGCCAAAAAATGAAAACACAAAAAATGTGTTTCCTTTTTGAGTTTTCAGTTTTTTTTTTTTTTCACCCAACACTAGCCACCCCCCGCCACCATTTTCCACCACCGTCTTCCAGCGGGTTTTCCCTGAAAAATACACCCGATGGGACGGGGATGGTATTCAAAAATCAATCCTCGAACATATTCGGGTCGGTAACGGGGATAAGTGTCCTAGTCCCATACCCGGCCTGTCCCCGTCCCTGTTCCCCAGCCCAGTTTATCCCCGATGTGAAATTATTATTTTACCCCTAAATATATATAATCAAAGCATAAAAACCATTTCCAAACTAAGCAGGTCTCACTCACTTCTCTCTCACACAGCCATGTCTCTCTACCTCACTCATTGCCTTATCTCTCTCTCTCAGATCCTACCACCACCACCCGCCACCACCACCACCACCACCGCCACAACCACCCACTCGCTACCACCCACCACCACAACCACCTACTCGCTACCACCCACCACCCGTCACCGTCATCCATCTACCCACCATCACCACTCGCTACCACCCACCACCACCCGTCATCCGCCACCTACTCGCTACCACCCACTACCCGCCACTGTCACCCACCTACCCACCACCACCACCCGCCACCTACCTGCCACCACCACCGGCCATCCGCCATCTACCTGCCACCACCACCCACCACCCGCCGCCACCGCCACCACCACCCACTTGCTACCACCCACTACCCGCCGCCGTCACCCACTCACCCATCACCACCACTAACCCGCCACCACCCACCACCACCAGTTACCCACCACCCACCGTCACCACTTTCCACCACCGTCTTTCGCCGCCACTTGCCACCACTTGCCACTACTTGCCATATCTCACTTTTTTTTATATTTTTAAATTTTTTTAAACATTTTGTCAATTACCAAACACGTTTGTAGTTTATGTTTTTCTAAAAATAAACAAAAAATAAACAAAAACCAGTTTATAAAATTTTTGTAAATATAAACTGAAAACGTAAACGTTACCAAACACACCTTTAGTAATTACAATATCAAAAAATTTTACAAAAATATTTCACACAAGTTTTTACGATTAATTTCGAGAAACATCATAAAAATAATGTTATTTGTAACTGGTATATCATGGATAATACAAAAAAAAATATGGATATAAGACTTAAAATAAATTATATAATGATAATTTTTTTTTATATAAAATTTGATTAAAAATTCAATATAATAGTAATACCACGTCATCATTGATATGCGATATCACCAAGTAATAGTACATAAACACATAGAGAGTGAATCTTACATGTCAAATGTAACTAACAATCCAATAAATTCCATATCTTTGTAGTGAGATTACTTATACTTGCATGTCAATAATAATGACATCATCGTTACATTCAAAAAATTTCATAAATAATATGATTCATAGTAGTCGCTTCATTTTCAATTAAAATAACCATTATTGTTCTCATAATTTTTAAAATGTCATTAACATTTCACTCTAATAATATTTTTTTATTTAAAATATTTTTTTTTTATGTTTGCAAAATTTTAAAAAAAAAATCTCAAAATCCAAGGGGGCCACGTGACCCTCTTGGGCTTTCACTCCCTCCGCCACTATCGGAGATCTCGGGAGACAATTTATGGTTGGTTCGGACCGTTATAGGAACAGGGCTGAAGCTAACAGAGCTAATGCAAGGAAACAGTTTATGGTCATGTTGAACCATTGTAGAAGAAGAATGGGTGTTAAACCAGCAAATATGGCACAAACATAACTTACGACGTGGTGTTGAATGATGATGGCAACAGATAAACAAGTGCGCCAAGGGGCAGCTTGGAAAAGAACCATGTGCACCAAGAGGCAGATTGAAAAAAACAAAAAATGCCCCAAGAGGTGGCTTAGGTAGTGCGCCAAGGAAGAAATCTTAGGTAGTGCACCAAGAGGACGGCTTGGGTGGTTTGCATGGTGTATAACCATGCACACTATAATATAGGTATAATCCTCCTCTCAAACTCAAATAAGTTTAAAAATAGAAACCTATTAGAAATTGAAGTAGTGGGAAAGACAGAGCTAAAAGAAGAAAAGATAAATAAAAATTTATACTCCGGAGAGAGCTAAAAACCGAGGCAACAATGGAAAAAACTATGCAAATTGATAGCTAACAGAGGAGAAGATGGTGGCCGAGAGTGGAGTTGGCGAAAAAGAAGACAATGGCCAAAAAGAAGTCGGCAATGTAAGGCGGTGATTGGAGAGTTTTATCACCGTAAGGAAAATATGGCAACAGAATGGGTTGAGGTCCGGAAGGCGGCCAAGGCAAGGTTGCTGCCCGTCGGTAAGGTGAAGAACACCAAGAGCTTAACCTATAGTTTTGATACTATATTACAATATTTAAAAGAGAGAGAGAGAAAGAGAAATCTGTATTATATTAAATGATGTAACAATGTATATAAGACTTCTTTATATAGGAGGAAAGAAATCTAAATATGATAATGTATATAATATAATATGTATGATAGACAAAATATGTAATTTCTATATTTAACAATAACAATGCGATATACCGAATGAAAAAACCTAGGAAAAACTACCCGAAATAAAGTATACAACATGATATGTTAATCTATGTCACAATTCATTTTGAAACGTATGTATCCAAACTTTTTTTGTTTTTTTCTAAATTTTTTGGTAGGCTGAAAGTCATAAAACTTGCACGAGTGGTTTACACAATTAAGTGAGAAAGAAGTTTTGCCAATTTCCTTTCGTGTGAAGAGCAGCTCAACAAGAATAATCATACCTTGATCATTTAAAATCGGTCTTTTTTATGGGATAAGTGATCATTTTAATTGGTTTTTTACAAAAAAATATATAAAAAAGTAGAGAGAATGATATGATAATTTATAATAATTTTTTTAACTATATTAGTCCAATGTCAAAAAAGACCTAGATTTCTGATCTAATTCAAGATATGTTTTCGTGGCTTTAATCGGTTCGCACATTTATTTTTACTCGGGACTAAATAGTAGCAGCCTTGGTAAAAGGTCCTCTGTGTTGGGGTTAATTTTGAAGGAAATTGATTTACACATGTTCTGTAGTATAGTATGCAGTTGTGAATTTCTTTTGAATTTATTTTCCAAACTAATGTTTTTGTAAATTTATGTTTTAAAAAATATGATTTTAATTAATTTATTGTATAATTCATTAAAATCGATTTCAACGTGATTTTTGTAATAAAAAAAATAAAAATAAAAAAAGAGAGAGGGAGAGAAAAAAGTGCATGCATTTGGGAAAAAGTTTTCAAAGAAAAACTATACAATGGTCTTACTTTGCTGTGAAGGGTTGTTTTGGAAAGTTGAAAATTCGGTTAAAAAATTAAAAAATCATTACCAAAAAATTAATTTTTATTTATTTATCATTATACAAAAAGTCAAAAAAATTACTAAAAAATCAATTATCAAAACAGCTGAAGTCATATGAGCTGAGCACAAACAAATCTAGTACACACTGGTCTTAGACTCTTTCAATTGAAGTATATAATATGTATCTATGGCTGTGTTTTTCATTTTCAGTTTTTGAAAAATACCCCGTTTGGTCATTTTTGTTTTCGTTTTTCATTTTTTATTTTGCAGACAGTTTTCAAAAACTGTTTGCAAACAGTCTTGGGATCTATCTCATTTTAAAAATAAAAATTCATCAAAGCAATGTCACATTATTTTAATACAAAATTTTGTATAAATTTTTTTTTGTTTGTGGGTCAATTTCATATGTCACCACAGAGGCTTGACTTTCTAATTATTTGATTTTGTCAAAACTATTGATTCAAAGTTAGGATAAGGCTGAATTACAAGTAACCATATTAGTGGGGTTTTTTTTCAAAATATACACAGAATGGTCAAGTGATGAACAGCAGTGAGAGTACAACTCACAGCAATAGATTTTACTGGTTAGGTAATACACATGTACACGTGATAATGATTTTATAGATTTTATTGGTTACGTATGCACATGTATCTCGTTGACTTAACAAAAATAAAATAAGATTATAGAATATTTTGGTCGGCAGTCTTGTTCATGCCATATATTTAAAACATGCGCATTTACTCTCTCGTTGAACACAACGTATTCAAATGACTCAACGAAAATAAAATAAGATTATAGAATATTTTGGTTGGCAGTCTTGTTCATGCCATATATTTAAAAATAAAAATAAAATAAAATGCTTGAGACTTACAAAAAATCTCACAATTTTACTCATAATGATATATTATGATAGGTATTAATT